GGCACAAATCAAGTTACAGAGGGAACGTGGTTCTTACAATAAAAGGCCTATAGACTAGCACTTTGTCTATTATGGTGTAGAGGTTAGGAACCACAAGATGTAGAGGCTCAGCTATGTCATTTATGGTTCTTAAGTCCTGGAGCAAATTCCATCTACCACTGGGCTATTCTACAACTTGGAAGTTTGCATGCAAGGTAGAAGTGAAGTAAGGAACTGCTTATGAGGCTTTCCATCCATTCCAACAACTAAGAAATAGTGAGAAGAGTTGGGACTTCAGAAAGGCCTGGTCTTTTTTATGACTTGTGGTTTGGTTCCACATCTTTCTTTCACTCCATCAAGGACCTTCTAAGAGCAATTAGCAGTGGTAGTCATGCACCAACTAGTAAGGTTCCAACTAATCCTTTTCATCTCAGGGTCATGGTCCATTAGTCCTTTGGACTAAGAGTGTTTTCTTCATTGTTCTTTGCTTTGAGTGAAAAGAGATCCGTGAACCACTCGTGCCACTCATAAGTCTTTTAAGACCCCGGTCACTACTCACCAAAGTAGGATGTAGAATATAGTCTTTGTGAATTCTGTTGTACCAGTTGACCTTGCTACCCCCAGAACTATAATCCTGAGCACCCAAACTCACTAATTCATTCCCTCAAGGTGTTGAGTTATGGCTTAGAAGTTGTCTTCATTTGGCCCCATTTGTTCTACTGTATGTATGGATCTGTTTATAGTACAAGCAGATGTGTCTGTAGAAATGTCTACCGAACCTATATAATTAAGTCACTGACAATGTTAACTGGAGGTGACAAAACCATGTGGTTATGTCACTGACAGTAAATGGTGACTTCTCAGGCATGCTGTCTTGAGCCTCCTGGAGTCAGAGAGCGGTTAACCAGAGGATTCATGGGGGTTCTCCTGCTGCCCAGTTAGCCCACTGTTACTCCCTGATGAACTGCTTTACCTCTCACCTGTGCTCTGCTTTTTACTCCTGTTCTTTCATTTATTTCCATATTCATGATAACGAAGCGAGTAAGCTCATTTTGTTGCACATTCAGTTTTTATTGATGTTGTGTTGTGAGCTAATTGAGATTCTGGACGTGTTTTATTTGGACAACCCCTATAATGTTTCATCTGTGTTCACAGTGACACCAGGAGCCTGTGAGTTCCCCTTTTGGACATGAGCGGCCTTTCTTCCCCCTACGCTTTGCCACTCTTAGTTTAGGTTTGAAAACCCTTTTTCCTGTCTTGCCATGCTCTCCCATCCTTTCACTGCCCTCTCCTCTGAGTGTTGCTTTAGAGAGGTTGATTTGGGGCGTGGGGTATAGGAGATTTTGAGCCTCGTTAGGAAGAAGACGTTTGATGGCCCTCGGCTACTAATTGAAAGGTTGGCTGTCCTAACCCACCCAGTAGTACCTTAGCACAAAAAGGCCTAGAGCTCTGCATCCATAACTGATACAACCTGGGAAACGCTGTTCTCTGTTAACACATGTCTCCATGAGTAGAATCAACTCAGAAGCACAAAACCACAATAAGAGAAGGGAAGTAAGATTTAAGATGACAGACAACAGGAGACATTAACCGCACTTCTCCTTTCTAGATGATTTTAAAAATAGGAATTGATCTTTCCAGCTTATTGCTATCCAGCCAGAAGGATAGTGAGCCTCATCACACAAACTACAAGGGGCACACGTGGAATAAAGAATAAATTATGTGCCCTTGTATCATGCATGCATTTAGCTCTACTGAGGGTGGCTCAGATAACCTTCACCAGTGTCTTCTGTGAAAAACTAAATGAGATATTTGAACACTCCCTAATTGCCTTTTCTTTTACTCTTATTGCAGATTTTAAAAAAAACCACACAAAACAAAACAACAAAACAAAAACCTCCTAGTGATAGAAATGGAACTTAGCTGTAGGATAAATAGAAGTGTATAGATGATGTTTAGCACTCCTCTGACTATTTAAACCCACCAGGGGCTCCAAGGGAGAAAGATAAGCAGTCTGCTTCCATTCAATTCACAGCCTCAGAAACCCATTATCTATGAGTTGTAACTGGCAATGAGAGAGAGAACTCTCACTAGCCAGATGATGGTGATGAAGTCTCAAAGAGTGTCATCTTATTAGTGATGATGATTTTCAGAACACTGTCCAGATGATTTTCTCCAACCTGTAGGAGAACATTCTCTAGAGAGAGTTGACTTCAGAGCATCTGTGGTTGTCATCAAGAAGAGGGAAAAGTAGAGCTTGGACTTTGGGAACCAGGGTCTGGGACTGGGGAGCACCAGAGGATCAGCTTCCTAGATCCTTCAGGGCAGAGTAGACCAGAGTGGAGAAAAAGTGAGACAAGACGTTCCCTTATCCAAATCTCCCCCCAGGGAGCCATGTCTTAGAGTGGGCATGACCAGATTTCCTGTCCTGACCCTGGAAGGTATGGAAACCTCAGAAAGTAGAGGCCAGTGGTGTTCTCTCTGGAGAAGACTGTTCTGGGATCCCATGGTTTCCTTACTCCTGCCTCTCCTCTTAGTCTGTCTTGTACTCTCTTTGCTTCACAGACTTAAAAAAAGAAATAAGCTGCCACTTCTAATCACTAATTCATGAAATTCATATTTGCAAGGAAACCTCAAGATGATGGTTATTAGCCTGTTTTGTTTTGATAATTACTTTTCTAACAACAGCAAAGTATTTTTTAAATCCCAAACATGTAGCAGATGAGTATGGAAAAGAGGCATTCAGGAAAGACTTTTAATGACAAGGTTATTAGAAAGTCAAGTGTTAACTGAATTCAGAACAATATGTAGAAAACTAATAGCAAGTAATTTTATACTGTTTACTGTATGTCAGATACTAGTCTAAATTTATGGTATACTATTAAGTTCTCACAAAGACTGATCACATAGATGCCATCATTATCCCAATATATAAAGAAGGAGTTGAAGCATAGAGAGGCTAGTTTCATTTCCTCAAGATTCCTCAACTGGTAAATATCGGTGCTGAGATTAGAACCCACAGAGACCTGGCTCGTTCTACTATACTGAGCTGCTGAATGGCATGACATTTGGACCAAGACATTTTCATTTTTAAGGCTGCCCTTCCTATGACTCTCCAGCAGTGACAATGAAGATGATAATTTTGTTTCCTGTTATAGTACACATATATTCAAATCCATTATTCATATACATTATTCAATATAAGACAGATACTATAACCACTTTACAGATGAGACTTAAAAAAGTAAGTAACTAAGAAACTCTTGTGGTGCAGTATGGAAGGTATGAGGCTGCTAATTGACAGTCAAGTGTCTTACTCAAGACTTGGAAAGTCAGGAAGACGCAGAGACGTGACGTGCTCCCCTTCCCTCTTCTCTTCCATACTGTGCCTCCATGAAGCTCTGGCAAAAAAGAGTTTCTGCCCTTCCGGTCATACTGGCGGCCATACCTCTATAAGGCTCACAGCTAAGAGATCCACCCTAGGTTCTTATGAGTGAACTGCCTGGTGAGTAGTGGCCATGTGGCAGGGCTGTTGTTCCACATGGCATCTGCTTAAGAAAGCCTGTCAGTGTGGGACATTCAAATGGATG